CCTTCTAACCTCGGCGACATGGGTTTAACATGGTTTGAAAGGTTGCAAGAATGTAGCATAGCTTTATGGGCGCAACTAGCGGAGGCATTTGTGACCAGATTCAGAACAAACACCAAGACGCCAGTGGAGATTGACCAGCTTCTCTCCATAGACATGGGCAAGAAGAAAACATTGAGGTCCTACAATAACCGGTATTGGGAAACTTTTAATTAGATTGGAGATTGCCCCACAAACCTAGCTATCGCACAGTACAAACGAGGTTTGCTAGCTAACAATAAATTAAGGGATTCAATAACAATGACGCCGCCTCTTACTATGGAAGCCCTCATGGAGAGAGTGCACCAACACATCTTGGTTGAGGAAGATGGGATGCGTATTAAGACAGAGTCCGATACAAACAGCAATGTCGGACAAAACACCCTCGACAAAAGTTAACACGATCGACAAGAAGGACCGACCACGCAAAAATCTTTGCCTAACTAGGGGCAAAGTGGGTTGGCAGGTTTGACCAACAAAACTTTCTAGATTCCTTACACAACTTGGGGGCAAAGGTGGTTGGCAGATTTGACCAACAAAATTTGTTAAATTCCTTGCACAACTGGGGGACAAAGGCGGTTGACAAGTTTGACCAATAAAATTTTTTAGACTCCTTACACAACTGGGGGGCAAAGGCGGTTGGCAGGTTTGACCTACAAAACTTTTTTGAACCCTTTGACCGGGATGATAGTTACCTCGGCCAAAGCAAGTTGGTAAGTTTGACCAACAAAATTTTTGCACTCTTTGGCCGGGATGACAATTACCTCGATCAAAGTGGGTTGGTAGGTTTGACCAACAATTTTTTGGGATTCTTCAGCCAAGATGTGTATCTCGGCCAAAAAGGTCGGCAGGATCAAGTAAGGCCAAGCTAATTAGTTTGACTAGACATGCAGTGGGAATGATGCAAAACATTGGAAAAAAAATGCAGTAACCGCGCCAAGAGATCAAAAATTTTCATTAATTGGAAGATGATTACAAAATGTGGGACATATAGCTCGGTTACACAGAAAGAACGACTTGCCGTACGATTGCAAACTCGAAGGGTATATACGTTAAAGGCAAAAAGGCGAGACTATTCAAGTTTTTGGCATGACTGCTGTAACAGGAGAACGGGGCTAATGAGGGCACGCCACATGCTAGATTAGTGGAAGGACGTGCTGAGCAACTAACAAGACTTATTGAAACCGAACAAGTTTTCTAGCTCAGCAGAGTCGAGGGTTCTTAACTCAGCTAGAGGAAAATAATCCCAATCATGCTACGCAGATAAAATTAAGGGGCAATTGAGAGAGTAATTTATGCATAAATTGGGCCGAGCTAAGTAAGTCCGTTGGAATGGACCGAGATAGATATAGTCTTGGGCCGAGCCACGGATCGAGATAATTATCTCGGTAGCCTTGGTCCTTGGTCGCATTGGTTCGGTCAAAGGTGGGCTATCGGTGGCCTGGTCTAGTGGTCGTAAACTGAGGTATCTATGGGAATCGGACTGAGCTAAAAAATAGCTCGGCAGAAGGTCATTCCAAAGACTAGGTTGACTAAATTGACTTAATTAGCACCGAGTTGTGTAAGCACAGCTATGTCTTGTGCTAGCCAGAGTAAGAGTTGTAACTATCTCACTTAGACAAACAGTGAGTAAGGAGTTATCAGAATATGCATTATCCTTGGGAATGTAATTCCAAGGAGGACTCTACTAAAGAGAATAGAGTCCTACTAGCATTGTGCACACCATCTCACTTGGTTGGTAGTGAGTATGGCGTGTGATTCCTAGGAGGACTCTTATAAGGAGAGTTGGAATCCTACTAGGATTGGACCGAACAGAATCTATAAAAGCTCATAGCAGGACCTATGTATAGGTATCACAATTCTTACTCTAGAATACACAGAGCTTATTGTCTATTGTCTAGTTGTTGATTTAGGCATCGGAGGAGTTTTTGGCACACACTCGCCGATTAGCTCACGTTTGTGTTTTCAGATGGCAAAACAACGTTGTTTCGAGGAATGCAAACTTGATCAACAGGATTATACGATAAGATTATTTCGCGCTTGTACAATAATGTCACAGGAAGAGAAAACTTATGATGTTATGATGTTATGTATTATGGTGTTATTTTCAAACTAATCTGATGTTATCTTAGTCTCATATCATGTCTCTAATTAAAGTTTATTTATTATACATGTGCTAACCTATGTATTTAGAAATGAATTCAGGGAGCATGACTTGAGGAGGAGTTTTTCTTACTCCCAAATCAAATCAAAACATCATTGTGTTCCATCATCAAAAAGGGAGAGATTGTTAAACTTATTTATTTTGATGAGTTATTTAATTATATTTTAATTTATTTGAAAGAGAAAAATATAATCCAAAATTTATTCTGATGATTTATTTGAAAGGGAAAAATAGAATAAAAATTTATTTCGTCTCATTATTTCTCACCTAAACCTTTATCCTAAATGTTGTTAGAATGTATTTAATATTTGATTAAATCAGAAGTTCAAACAGCCCCAAATAAAGGTTCAAACAGCCTAATACAACATTAGGCCAAAAGGTTCAAAAGGTTTAAATGGAAGATATTCAAATTAGTAATGATGGAAGTATAACGGCTAAACGGCTATAAATTCAAATGACTACAACGGCTATAAATTCAAATAAATACAACAGCTATAAACGGCTATAATTTTCATTATATATACCAAAGCCTCTAATGTAAACAAGTTACAAAAAACTTGAAAATATTCTTTGATCTATAATCAATCACATCTATTCTCAGAAATTATACACTGAGCCTTATAGCATTAAGCTCATCTTTCCTGTGTAAGATTTACAGAAAAATCAAAACTTCATTTTATATATCTATTTTTTAGAGATATTTATTGTAAGCTTTCTTTAAAAGCAAAAATACCATTTCATCTTGTAAAAGTGTTGCAAACACTATGTTCTTGAAATCTTGAGAGTGATTGTGAATTACCTAAGATTTGTAAGGGTTTGGGCTTGTGAAGTCTGTGTAAAACCCGTAGAGGATTGTTCCATTTATAAAGAGGTTGCTAGCACCCCTGTGAAGCTAGAAGATAGTGAAAAATTTCAAGTGAAACTTGAGGAGTGGATGTAGGCTTGGTTAAAGCCGAACCACTATAAATCTGTTTGTCTCCTCTTCCCTAATCTCTTTACTTTCCTACTACTGCTATAGCTATCTAATATTCATGTGTTAATCATTTGATTTACCCTGTATGTTAGTTATGCTTCATTGTTGTTTTGCTTGATCATTTACTGTTAAGTTTATCATTGTGCATGTTAATAATTTGTTGTACTAGTAGTTAATTTTATTGGGGTATTATTAATTTTAATTTGTAGAAACCTAATTCACCCCCCCTCTTAGGTTGCTTTTTGGGTAACAGATGCGTTTTAGGATAACCCTCCATCACCTTCTTCAATCTTCACCTACACCCATTCATATTCATTTCACTTCCAATATATGACCATAAGCAAAATATCAAACCAACCCCTTTTGATCCATTTGGTTAGATCATGGGTAGCAGCCAACCCCCTGCCACAACAAAAACAAAATTTAGATTGAAACTAAATAAACTATAAGACTAAACTGATATAATAAAATTTATTTTTGGCCTGACCAATCATTTTCAAAATTTGGCAATGATAAAACCAAAAATAGTATAAATTTTGCCCTCAAACTCCCAGCTTTGCACTAATATAAATTTATTGATGTGCAATACATGTGCTTACACTACTACACATAGTCGAAAGACGCTTTATGGGTAAAGAAACTTCTTTTAGCTATCAAAACAAATATTCAAAAAGTGTATTAGTATATTCACAAATTACTTTCACATATACACATGACAAAGTTATAAATTTACACTTGAAAACGAAGTGCATAGTTCCATACACTTGAAAATGACAAATGAAGATAAGTTTCTTCATCAGCAGAAGGACAAAAATAACTGTAAAGCTAATGATGCCTAAGCTCTCCTAGCGTATAACTCGTGCTTGAAGGCAATCCCAACAAAAAAAACTAATAACGCTGATTATTGGGATTTCTCAAGCGGTAGCACTTGTCAATCTTTACTGGGTTTAACAGAATTACCAAATTCAATAGAGTACTCACCAATTTTGCTAACTATCGTAATTGATAAGTAGCTCACAACCTAGCAATGACATCAACTTCATCACCACAACCAACGTTGCTCATTTTCATCAGACCCAAATTGGCATGACCGATCAAAAACTTATCATAAAGTAGAAGCAAAATGTAGAGGCACACACTACAACCTAATTTTCAATCGGAGGAGTACAAAAAATATGTAACAGAACATTCTTAGCTATCCCGACCATCCTTTTCTTTAAGGATGGAATTTTTATAAACATACCTCATTGCTAAAAATAGATTATAAAAAATGAAACGCAAATTTGGGAAGGGAATAGCTCCAATGACCTTTTCCCACACTCACAGCATTCTCATTAAAATTCCATATACAATGGAAAACCAATATGCTAACCAAAACATTTATGGAGCAACGGGTTCAATTGGAGAAAACAAAATTAAGATCAAATTAAAATGGTCAAAGTCATCCACAGCATGTTCTTTCACCATCCTATTACGAAAATGAGTCAAAGCCCTGGCATCATTTGCCATAAATATTGCAAAGCCAAACTGCATCTCACGAAAGTATTATTTGATATAAAATAGAGAGAGTTACCATACCAAATTCAAAGCACAAAAACTCTGAAGGCAGTCAAGCTTATGCTTCCACTTGGTAACTACAATGAAGGAAATAAAGAAGAGGCTCTATTTTAGGTATTTTATCAAACATTCTACTAGCAAATTATAGAATATGCTATATAATCACAACACACAAAAACATAAGAGTTTGACTATAACCTATAATCAAATCAAAAATAGTATGCGAAGGGAAAATTTTGAGAAAATGAATAAGCATAGAGTTTTACCTGGGTTTAAGTCTCATCCACCTATAAATTATAGGGAAAGCTTTTTATTAAGAGGAAATTAGATATAATAAATAATTAAAAGCCTCAACCTATAAGAAAGGTGTAGTAGAAAGCAGAAAAGAAACTATATTACATGGTACTCCTAAAGTATCTAATAATTTTCTATTTAGAAACGAAATAACCAAATGTACCTTTCTATAGTTCCTACAATTACTAACCTTCCTCCCTAAAGGCTTGTGGCATCATTAATATAAACAAATTAAATTGATCAACTCCAAGTTCCTGATTTCAATTAAAAAAGAAGTGATATTGTTGGGTACAAGGGGATACATGGAGCCATGTGAAACAGAAATAAATATAGAATGGCATTAAATAAAATAAAAGGACAAGGTTTCAATTCTAATTGCAATAAAAAGAAGGAATAAAGAAGTGGGGTTGGAAACAGCTAAGGAGGGTTGTTGTTTTTCTATATCAAATCAGTGATTGTTACATTACAGCTTTTGAAAGTTGGAGTAGTCATTTTGTTTTCTTTGGTGCTGAAGCTGAAATAAACAAAATGCAAATAGTAGATATCAGTAGAAGAAGTTTCAAAGGACCTTGTTTAAAGCCAATAACAAAGTCAATAAATTCAAGCTCTTTACAAAATTTACACTTAAAAATTTTAAATGCAAAATTTACAAAATAAAATTTTACACTTACAAATTTTAAAAATAATTTTTACAAATTTAAAATAAAACTTTAAAATTTAAATTTACATAAAATTTTATTATAATTTTGTCAAAAATAATACATTTTACTAAAACAATCAAAATTTTCAAATTATTTTTGAAAACACTCATGTTTCCAAATTATTTTTGAAAACACTCTCTCACAAGATAGTAGAGGATTTTTTTCTAATTTTTTTAAGATTGAGTTATTGGAGGATAATATTGAACTTTTTGTCCACTTCTATATAACATGTTTGACCTCCTTTCCATGGAGTTTTGGAGCAAGGATCCTCTAGAGTGAGTTTTTCCTAAAGTTTCCTAGAGTGCTACATTGTGTGGTTGAGATTTATTGGTGGGAGTTTTGTACCAATTCCTCTTTTTAATGATAATGCTATTGCAATTATAATATTTTTTACAAATAAAATTATATTAAATGATGTGGTAAATTGAGACTCCTTTTTTTTCAAATATAAAATTCATTACTTAATCTCATAAAATTCATACTAACGATAATGGACTGTCAATAAATTGAAGAAGAAAATTGCAGGAAGAGCAATTTTGCATTTTCACTGCTTTCTGTATGAATTCTTCAAACACCAAAGTTACTGGATGATAACTTTCTTTCTGCTCTTTTCTTTTTTAAAATTTTCCATAATTTATTCTTCAGACAAAATATTTTTTACAATTACTGTCATCACATCCTAAAAGTTCCTCACAAACTATAAGAATTTGCATGAATACATAACAAAAAATAATAAGTTGCAGTTAGTTTTACACAACTTCAACAGAGGCAACTGATCTCATAGAAAATAATCCATTGGCACCCTCTTTTCTATGGAATAAATGATTAAGGCCTTCACAATCTACCTAAATCTCCTCCTGTAAGTTGAAAACTTTGATACACTTCGAATCATTCCCATCATCCTGACCCAAAAGACTATATATCAAGACTGTTCAAAGAAAATTTAGCTTTAACAATGTAATAAAAAAGAAAGCAGCAAAAAAGCATATCTAGGAATATCATAGTCTATGACATGAACCCAACTTCTCAAAAGGAAAATCAATCACACTCAATTGAATACGACTCCAACGTCAATTCCCCTTATCCATGGCTTTAATTTGGCTTTTCCTATTGTCCCTAACACCCATGTTAACCCCTTCCCAATTCTCAATTCATGGACCTTTTAAAGAGTAAAATTCTTGAAATTTAGAGTTGCTAAATTTCTCAAAATTTGAGTGGGGTGATAGACCCCATTGGTCTATGCTTAGGCTCATGTCCTATAGCTTTCAAAGAGCTGTGGGCTAATGTCCAAACATCAAATGCCAGTAAATGTGGTCACTACCAATTTCTGGTTGATTTTCAAAATCATAGAAAGCCATGTTTTTGAAAATCAACACTCATTAAACCCATTTCAAAAATTAAAATCATGTCAGAAATCAAAACTCATTTCAGATCCAAAATTGAAAGCTGCATAAGAAAAATAAAAAAACAGACAGAACACCACAAAAACAAAAAACGAAAAAACAACAAAAACAAACACAAACCCAACACAAACATATCAGTTTTTATATTTAGAAAAAACAAATTCAAATTCAAACTCAAATCTTAGAAACATAAACCCAAATTGATGTATATAGTGTCTTTGTATGTCCTGCTTCAACTTTTTCTACGTTTAGTGTGATTCCATTTAATACATGGATTAAGATGGATTAACATTTAGAAAACACAAACCCAAACACTCTTGACGGTGGACGGAGGCGCCGTGACGGGTTAAGAGAAGATCCGAGAGGGAGAAGTGATGAAGAGTTAATGTCGATGGAGATCGGAGGCGACGTAGCGGTGGAAGCAGCGCGGCTGTGGAGAGTTGCTGTCAGTGGTAGAGATGTTGCCGAGGGAGAGAAAGATCTCTGAGAAGTTTGAAGAAAGAAAGAGAGAGAGAGAGAGAGAGAGAGAGAGAGAGAGAGGAAAAATGGTGCAAATTTGAAAAGGAATGTTTGCAAGCCTCAGAGTCTTGGATGCAAAGTTTTAGGGTTAAGTGGACGGGAAGTTAAAGTAGAGTGGGAGAGAAAGTCTCATCTCTACCATCCATCTTTAGGCAGAATGTATTCCAACCATTGAAATGTCCCAATAGAACAATTGTCTCTAACATATTTTCAAAAACCTTTGTGCCTTATTATATAGATATAAATAATATATTTTATTTAAATATTTTTATTTAAATAATATAAAAATATTTTTTACTTAAATATTTTTATTTAAATAATATAAATAATATTAAAAAAATTATCGAGCCAAGCTCGAGTTTCATTAATACTAACGAGCTGAGCCGAGCCGAGCTCAAGCCCAGTTCCTTATCAAGTCGAGTTCGAGCTCAATAAACAAGCTTGATATGTAAACGAGCCTAGCTCGAGCTCAACAAAGATTGGCTCGGCTCGGCTCGGTTCGTTTGTAGCCCTACTTGCTTCTACTTGAAAATTTTTAGTTGTGTTTATCTGTGTAACTATTTGTGGGTAGGGCTAGAAATAGGCATTTGCATTAAGCTTTGTTCAAGTTCAGTTAGTAGTGAGTATGAAGAAATTTTACTCTAGTTAAAAAACAAAAAAGCTTAATTGGAAATTTTGTGTAGAAGAACTAAAAATGGAGTCGTGTGAGAAATAGGTTGAGCTTTACATGTTATAAAATTTTATTTTAAATATAAATAAATGAATTGTTTATAAGAAGTAAGGAAAAAAAATTGAAAGTTCTAAATATAGAGCTCTAGAAGAGCTCTAATGAGTTGGGTACGGCTGAGTAAGGAATCCGTGAAATCCATAATCTGATCCAGTTCAGTCCAATCCGATAGTTTGGATTGATTTTTTGAATCCGTGGTTCGGTTCCAGATTGAAGAATTAAAAATCCGTAGTCCACGAATTGGTTCCGGATTGAACTCCACGGTTCCGGATTAGAACCGATCCGGACCGTATATAAATAGTCTATATTTTTATTATACATCCTCCCCCATAGTATCTTCTTTTATTCTATATGAAATCTAAACTCAAACCTAAAATCGTATAATATCTTCTTTTATTACTTTTATTTGTTAGTTTTTAGTTTTAATTTGTAATAGTCTAAATACTTATGGTGAAACCAATTTTCTTATGGTTGTTTAAATTCTAGAACAATATGTTGCTATTATAGAAAAATATGTTGCTATTGTAGAACTAATATAGCGTTATGTTTATATTTTTATGAAATTAAAGTGTTATATATATATATATATATTTGTTATTTAATTATGTGAATCCGTGGTCCTAAACCGATCCAATCCGTATTTAAATGGATTGATTCGGATTGGTTCCATGATTTAAACAGATTGGATTGGTTCTAATTTTTCAAGAACCGTAAATAACGGATTGGTCCTGATCTTATCTCAATCCGGTTCAATCCGGACCATGCTCACCCCTAAAGTTGGGCCTCACTCATGATTATGATGTGATATTTTTTGTTTCTTCTTTTTTTTTTTTTTTTAACTTTATCACATAATTAGAGCTCAAATTAAAGCTCTCTATGATGATTGAAAATAGTAGGTGACAATCATGTCGTCGGAGGTAGCGAATAGGTCAATTAGTCATGATACATTCTTCTAAAAATGAGTATTAAACCAGTTTTAATGAGATGAAAATTCAAAAAAAAAAACAAAAAGAAAGACAGACACAACCATCACATCATGAGAAAACCAACTCATTAGAGCTTTCCTAAAATTTCATATTTAAAGCTCTCAAATATTTTTGATTGGTCAATAGCTACCATGACTGATGGGGTGATAAACAAAGGATGATGGGGGAAATAGGTCAGACAAAGATGAAAAAAAAAAAAAAGGAAATTTTGGTAATAAAAATTCAGTAAAATTTGCAAATTGTTTATATATTTTTTTAACAAAAATATACATCAAGAGAATTTTTGTTTAGAATTTTCAAAAAAATTATAAATATAAATAAAAATGTTACCAAACAAATCTTAAGTATTTTTATCTTATTCAATTGATTGAATTAGTGAAAATGAGAAAAATATAAACTATTCTTGAAATTTAGTTTCTTAAACATTTTAAAAATGATAGATTTTGAAATAAATCTACAGAATGCTTTTTTTTTTTTTTAAATAGATATAAATTAATTTGACAAAAATAAACACTAATGAGATATTTTTAAATTTTTAAAAATTATGTTCATTCTCAAAAAATGTAAAATCATATAAAAATAATAAACTTTTTATAATATTTTTTTATGTTAAAAACAAACAAACAAACAAACAAACAAACAAAACAAAACAAATTCAAACCAAACTAATGGATCTACATTTAAGAGCGAAGAGCGTGACTTTGTCCCGTTTGGTGTAACTGTTAAAACAGATTATAGATTATAACTTAACAGATTATAGATTATGACTTTAATCAGAAACTGTTAATCTGTTTGGTGTAACTGTTGGATTATAGATTTAAGTTTAGTGTTTGTTAAATAAGTTGTGAAGTAGCTTTTTCAGTTAATTTTTATTTTCTGTTATCCACTACTTATCTACATTTCTCATAAAAAATAATAATAATATTCTATAGTCCATTTGGGTCTTTTTCTATTTTTTAAAAAATAAAAAAAATTTGAGAATATAACTGTAAATTAACATGTCCACAGTAAAAGCTGATAATCAGAAGCAAGGGGTAAGCACCTCCTCAGAATCAATTTTTTTGACTTAAAAGCAATTGTTAGAATCAGAAGCTGTTTGACATAAATTTAACCAAACAATTTAAAATAATTTTTCAAAAGCTAAAAGTTATAAATTGACTGAGAAAAATCCAAACAAACACGCTCGTTGCCATGAAATGCTTGTCTAGATACACGGTGACATTGATGATACTTTTTGTGCAGGTTTTCAATTGTTGAATAGTAAATTGTTTTATGTTTTGAATTGTTGATACTTTCAATTGATGATACTTTCGAGGTTCTTCAAAAATATCATTGTTGTGTAGGTTTTTCTTCCTATGAGATGTGATTACATAAAATAATGTAAGAAATAAAGTACAATTTTATATATAGAATCACTATAGAATTTAAACTACAAATTCATAATATAAAATAATACATAATTGGTATTTAGTATAAAATAATGCACAAGAAAATAAGAATATGAAAGGGGGAAAAAAAAAAGCAATTTAACATTAAAAAAAATCCTAATACGTTTTAAAGAAATAAGAAGAAAAAGAATTAAGAAGAAAAACATGAAACCCAAAATTAGTATTGAGTTTGTAAATTATCTCAATTTACGATGAAAAATATATGAAAAATAAATGTTTGTCAAGAGAAGGTCCTGAATCATCCTTCTGTTGCTTGCTTTCCAAGCCATTGTGGCTGAAACTCTACTATGGAAGGCCTAAGCAATGGAATCCCTTTCCTATGCTAGCCATACTTTGCTGACCAATTTCTTAACCAGAGTTACATTTGTGATGTTTGGAATGTTGGATTGGGGTTTAACTGCGATGAAAGTGGTATCATCAAACAAGGAGAAATTAAAGATAACGTGGAGCAACTGCCCAATGACAAGACAATCAAAGCAAGGGCTTTGGATCTAAAGGAAGTGGCTGCAAAAAGTGTTAAAGAAGGTGGCTGATCTCACAATAACTTCAACAATTTTATTGAATGGTTGAAGACGTAGACAAGTTGTTTAGGCTGCAAACAAGCATGGTTTTATAATTTATTTCTGGGCTTTTTCCTTTTTGTGTTATCATATAAAAGAGTCAAGTAAAAGACAAATGCAAAGAGAGAACTACGAAATGTCTTGTGTCATTAGTACTAAAGCAAATAATAGGTTTTGGTGTTGTTACTATACATTAGACAACATAATTAATGCAAAAGAGAACTATGAGACTGCCATGTCTGTTACTAGTACTACAGCAAAAACCTTCTTTTTTAAAAAATAAATAAATAAATGGCAACCTCACAGCGACATATTAAACCGTTTATCTTGAAAAATAATCAAAACAAAATTAAAACAAACTTTATAGAAAATGAGATAATCAGCATAGATATTAGCAGCCATTGTACCAAATAAGGAACTCACAATTATGCAGTACTTAGGATCACCTTACACAACCAGGTCAACAAGCCTCATAGGATATCGACTCATTATCTAAGTCAACTTGTTTCCCATCAGATACTACATATACAGTCTTCATCTCTTGGAGAAAGCTACATAATACATTAAACTGAAGCAATGATTATCACCAAGTAGAGCAGTAGACAAGGTAATAAACCAAACAACAGCTGTAAAGCAGCTCAAAGCACAAAAGTAAGGCCAAGTTTGGGAAAATAAGTGCACTTTTTGTCTTTTTAGACTAAAAAGTTGAGGTTGAAAATATGAATGTTTGGGTTAACTTTTTGACTTTTTATGAAAAAATGTGTAATAAAAAATTGTAAAAATTGATTTGTAGGAGAAAATTAGAATTGGGAGTTGTGCAGCCGTAATTGTTGACTTTTGGTGAATAGTGATAACTTTTTAACTTTTTGAGTAACTTTTTGACTTTTTGACTTTTTGGGGTGTTGCCGCCTAAAACTAGACAAGAAAAAAAAAATACAAAGAGGAAGAGCAGGTTCCCAACTTGGACCCACATATAAATATTAAAGCATATAAAAAAATTTACAATGAAAAAGAGTTGGTTCCCAACTTGGACCCACATAAAAATATGGGTTTGGTTATGGTGTGCAACTTACACCTTACACCTTATACCTTACACTTACATCTTACACTTACACCTTTTGTAAAAAATTAAACCTTACACTTACACCTTTTTTGAGGTTGCACACCATATGCAACCCACTTACACCTTACACTTTACACTTACACCTTATACTTACACCTTATACTTATACTTACACCTTACACTTACACTTTTTGTGTAAGTGGCACATGGTGTGCACTTGCACACTTAAGAAAACTCCTAAAAATATTAAAGCATATAAAAAAATTACAAAGAAGAAGAGTTGGTTCCCAACTTGGACCCACATATAAATATTAAAAAACATATGGACAAAACTTTGAGCACATAAAAATAAAAATAAGAACTTGGACCCACATAAAATTATTAAAGAATATAAAAAAAAATTACAAAGAAGAAGAGTTGGTTCCCAACTTGGGCAAGCATAAATATTAAAGCATATGGACAACACTTTGAGCATAAACCTCTGTGGTGACCTATAATAGTAAGAAATTGAGTTATAAAAGTATTTGCCATATTAGTGATTTCTCAAGTAGCAAATATGGGCAAACCACATGTTTTAGCTATTCCTTATCCTGCTCAAGGCCATGTCCTTCCCATGCTGGAGCTCATGCAATGCTTAGCCAAACATGGTTTCAAAGTCACATTTGTGAACACTGAATTTACTCAAGAAAGAGTCATCAACGCATTGGCAGGGAAAGACTGTATAGAGAATCATATACATCTGATATCAATCCCAGATGGGTTGAAACCCTGGGAGGATAGAAATGAATTGGGGAAGTTAACAGAAGCAATCTTCCAGGTCATGCCTGGGAAGCTGGAAGAGCTCATAGAAAAGATTAATGGATCAGACAACGACAAGATCACTTGCATTATTGCAGATCAGCTCTTGGGATGGGCCCTTGAAGTTGCAGAGAAGATGCAAATCAAGCGAGCTGCCTTTTGGCCTGCTGCAGCTGCACTCTTGGCTTTGAAATTCAGCATCCCAGCACTACTTGATGACGGGATAATAAACGATAGTGGTAAAAACTCATATCCTTGTGAATTGTAGTTTATATTTTTCATTACATGAGACCAATAGGAATAATTAGTACCATCTAACTTAGTGGTGATAGCTTGTAACTTATCATCAGTCATAGTATTATAATTAAGCAACACAGTAAAATCAAAACAGAGAGACAATCACACAACCAGAGTTGTTGCTATAATTAAAGAGTCCGTAAGGTCAAACTTATAATAACGAGACCCAAAGGTTAAACGTATAATAATCAAACCCAATCACCCTCAAATAGCAATCAGAAAGAGAGAACCAAGGCAAAGCACATAGTGAGAGAGAGAGAGAGAGAGAGAGAACTGAACCAATCAAAGTCACCAGAGAATCGATCGAACCAGATGTAGAGAGCTTTGATCAAACCAGAGGTGGAGAGCTTCAATCAAACCAGATGAAGCAGTTGAGAGATCGAGCTTCGAAGTGCGATGAAGAGAACAGGGGCTGCGATGATCAATGCTGATCTGCGAAAGGAATCCTAACCTGTGTAACTTGGCTCTGATACCATGATAATTGATAAGAAAACTTTGTCTTACAATTAATCAATCTGAGAACAAATATATAAAACCCTAATCTAATAGAATGAAACACTAACAACCTAAAGGACTAAACTATCCTTAATGAAAAATATAAACTAAGGTTTTCTTATCAATTATCAATCCTAACTACTGATTCTTCTGCAACAGCGTAAAATATAAAAATAGACAAATTTAGCAATTAGTTTTGATTACCTGTTTGAATAACACAACATGGGGGCTCAAGAATTTATTATACTGGGGGACTAGAGAAACATTTTGGAAAATTATCACGGTGAATAACCTTGAAAATAAACATGAGGGGAAACAATCAATTCATGACAATAAAGAAATAAACGATAAAAAATAAAATATAAAATAAGAGGAAACAGCATATTTTGTCACTATAGAACAATGTTCAGCCTGAAATTTTACAAGTAATTCATAAATCAAGCATCCTACACATGATAACTACCATAAAGTGGGCTGTTATTAAAGGATAACCAAAACTACAAATAACAAAAGCAAAAACTGGAAAATTTATCACTGCGAATCTGTCAGGGTAACTGCAAAGGTGATGCACACACAGTATAGACTTGCAAAGTTTTGAATATTGGAAAAAAAAACTTTTCCGCTTGAGTCTAAACGTAAATATATTTAGATCTTACTGTGATAAAATTGTTACAATTCGTTTTGCATCCACAAAACAATTATCCCTTTTCAAAAAGAAAAGGTCCACATCATGCTGCAAGGTAATCAATTTTCTTATCTTTTTTTCAATCATCATTGTAGGTGGTATCACTTTATTTTTATAAAATTATTAATTTATTATTGTCTTTTTCTTTTCTTTTTTTTACAGGAACACCTACCAAGAATCAAATGATTCAACTATCACCAACCATGCCTGCCATTAGCACATCACACTTAGTATGGGCATGCATTGGTGACTTGACCACACAGAAAATTATTTTTGAACTTAATGTAAGAAATAACCGGTCTGTGCAAGTGGCAGACTGGCTGATTTGCAATTCAACTTATGAGCTCGAGCCTGCAGCATTTAGGTTATTTCCAAATATCTTGCCCATAGGTCCACTTTTGGCAAGAAATCGACTTGGAAATTCAGCAGGCTACTTCTGGCCGGAAGACTCAACTTGCTTGGAATGGCTTGATCAACAGCCAGCAAACTCAGTCATCTATGTTGCATTTGGGAGCTTCACGGTTTTTAACCAGATCCAGTTCCAAGAATTGGCTTTGGGGCTTGAAATCGCCAACAGGCCATTCTTATGGGTTGTGAGGCCAGATATAACTAATAAGAACAATGATGCCTACCTGCAAGGTTTCAAAGAAAGAGTAGCAACTCGTGGGCGAATGGTAGGTTGGGCTCCTCAGCAGAAGGTCCTGGGTCATCCTTCTGTTGCTTGCTTTTTAAGCCATTGTGGCTGGAACTCTACCATGGAAGGCCTAAGCAATGGAATCCCTTTCCTATGCTGGCCATACTTTGCTGACCAGTTTCTTAATCAGAATTACATTTGTGAAGTTTGGAAAGTTGGATTGAGGTTTAACCACGATGAAAGTGGGATCATCAAACAAGAAGAAATTAAGGATAAGGTGGAGCAACTGCTCAGCAACAAGACAATCAAAGCAAGGGCTTTGGATCTAAAGGAAGTGGCTACAAAAAGTGTTAAAGAAGGTGGCTGCTCTCACAATAACCTTAACAATTTTATTGAATGGTTGAAGACATAGACAAGTTGTTTAGGCTGCAAACAAGCTTGGTTTTATTTCTGGGTTTTTTTCTTTCTGTGTTATCATATAAAAGAGTTACGAAGAAAGAACTATGAGAATGTCTTGTGTGCCACTAGAGCTAAAGCAAAAACAGTTTTTGGTGCTGTTACTACACATTAGAGAAGACAGGTAATACAAAAAGATAACTATGAGAATGCCATGCCAGTCACTACTACCGTAGCAAAAACAGTTTTTTTTTTTTAAATTGAGAACTTCAGAGCAACAAGTTAACAAATTATTTGAAAACCAATAATAAATAAATAAATAAAACTTTTTAGAAAATGAGACGAGCAGAATAGATACTAGCAGCCAGTGTAGCAAATAAGTCACTCACCCTTATGCTAGTGTCACCTTACACAACCAGATCTACAAGCCTCATAGGATCTCTACTAATTGTATATGATGGTATGTGAACTTGTTTCCCAGTAGATAATACATGTCCAGTCTTTCATCTCGTGGAGAAAGCTACATTAAACTAAAGGAACGATATCCCCAAGGACAGCAGTATAAAGACAATGTAAATAAACCAAACAACAGCGGTAGAGCACCTCAAACCACAAAAGTAACACCAGACAAAAAAATTACAAAGAAGAAGAGTGAGCATGTACTCTGAGCACGAGAAAAATTACAAAAAAAATTACACTGGACAACGCATTGAGCATGTACTCAGTCATGTGGGCCTCTGTGACTACCAATAATAGTAGGAAATTTAAGTTATTGAAGAATTCATCATATTAGAAATATCTGCGGTGATTGAGAAAAATAACAAAGATGGGCAGACCACATGTTCTAGCCATACCTTATCCTGCTCAAGGCTCCTTCCCTTGCTGGAGCTCATGCAATGCTTAGCCAAACATGGTTCCAAAGTCACATTTGTGAACACTGAATTTACTCACAAAAGGGTCATGAATGCATTGTCAGGGAAAGATAACATAGAGGATCATATACATCTGGTTTCAATCCCAGATGGGTTGGAACCCTGGGAGGATAGAAATGAAGTTGGGAAGTTAACAGAATCAATTTTCCACGTCATGCCAGGGAAGCTGGAAGAGCTCATAGAAAATATTAATGGATCAGACAAAGACAAGATTACTTGCATTGTTGCAGATGAGCTCTTGGGATGGGCCCTTGAAGTTGCAGAGAAGATGCAAATCAAGCGAGCTGCCGTTTGGTCTACGGCAGCTGCACTCTTGGCTTTGGGATTCAGGATCCCAGAGCTGCTTGATGATGGGATCATAGACAATAATGGTAAGAACTCATATACTAATTCTTGATTCTTCTTTCTGATACAGCGTACCATACCAAAACAAAGACAAATTTAACAATTAGTTACGATTACCTGTATGAATATAACACAACATAGGGGCTCGATAATTTATTATGCTGGGTGACTGAAGAAAAATTTTACAAAACTATCATGGTGAAAAAGTTTGGCAAGGAACATGAGAACGAAAGAAGCAACTCATGACATTAAAGAAATAAAAGACTACAAAATAGAAAACAAAGCATATTTTGCCACTATAGAAGGCTGGAATTTGACAAGTAATTCATGAATCAAGCATCCAAAACATGATAACTACAGAAAATTTTTGTTGTTATTAAAGGATGACAACAACAAAACAGTAACAATAAAAATTAATAAAAATAAAATCTGGAAAATTTATCACTGTGCATCTATCAGGGTAACCGCAAAAGTGATGCACAAACACTATAGCCTAAGCCTTGCAAGGTTTGATTATTGGGGAAAACAAACTTTCAAACATAAAAAATTTTAGATCTTACTATGATAAAATTGTTAGCATTCGTTCTGCATCAATAAACAATTATCCATTTTCAATAAGAAATGGTCTGCATCATGCTGCAAGGTAACCAATTTGGTTATCAATTTTTTCTATTGTTATTGCCAATGACACTTTATTTTTATAAAGTTAATTATTTATAATTGTTATCCTTTTCTCTCTTCTTTTTTTTTTTTTTTTTTTTTGCAGGAACCCCAACAAAAAATCAGATGATTCAACTATCACCAACCATGCCCGCCATTAGCACAACACACTTTGTGTGGGCATGCATTGGGGACTTGGCCACACAGAAAACTTTTTTTGAAGTTATTGTGAAAAATAACAAGTCTGTGGCAGTGGCAGACTGGCTAATTTGCAATTCAACTTATGAGCTGAAGCCTGCAGTATTTACCTTATTTCCAAATATCATGCCTATAGGTCCACTTTTGGCAAGCAATCGACTTGGAAATTCAGCAGGCTACTTCTGGCCAGAAGACTCAACTTGCTTGGAATGGCTTGATCAACAGCCAGCCAACTCAGTCATCTATGTTGCATTTGGAAGCATCACAGTTTTTTGACCAGATCCAGTTCCAAGAATTGGCTTTGGGGCTTGAACTCACCAACAAACCATTCTTATGGGTTGTCCGGCCAGATTTAACTGACGACAACAACGATGCTTACCCAAAAGGGTTCAAAAAGAGCAGCAACTCGTGGGCGAATGGTAGGTTGGGCACCTCAGCAGAAGGTCCTGGGACATCCTTCTATTGCTTGCTTTTTAAGCCACTGTGGCTGGAACTCTACCATGGAAGGCCTAAGCAATGGAATCCCTTTCCTATGCTGGCCATACTTTGCTGACCAGTTTTTTAACCAAAGTTACATTTGTGATGTTTGGAAAGTTGGATTGGGGTTTAACTGTGATGAAAATGGGATCGTCAAACAAGGAGAAATTAAGGACAAGGTCCAGCAACTGTTCAACGACAAGACATTTAAAGCAAGGTCTTTGGATCTGAAGGAAGTGGTTTCAAAAAGTGCCAAAGAAGGTGGATGCTCTCACTCACAATAACTTTAACAATTTTATTGAATGGATGAAGGCATAGACAAGTTGTTCAGTCTGCTGACAACCTCGGGGTTTGTTTCTTGATTTTATTAATTAAATGTCCCTGATACTGAAACTGGACTTTGTAATGTCTTTCTCGAACAGCTACGCTATGCTTTTTCTCTCTTATTGTGCTTCCATGCACCCAAGGCCTCCTGCCCCTTCTGGTACTTTGAAAGTTATTACATGTCTTTCATTAAGGAGAATAGACTCTATACCAATAGGGCAACCAAGCAAGAAACTAACCAGACTGCCAAGCCGAAGCGCTCACCAGCAAGAACATGATCTAATTGAAGAACCAAAAGCACTCTGACGTCAGGTTGGGCAACATGCATCTTGGTTGGTGTCCCACCACTAGATTTTTTATGTTACTAACTTACCATACATTAGACAATACAGTAAATGCAAAAAGAGAACTATGAGAATGCCATGCATGTTACTAATACTATAACAAAAAATAAAATAAAATAAAATGATTTAGAGAAACATGTTAAACAAAAAAAATTGAAGGAAAAAATAAATCTTTTTTTGGTCAAAAAAATAGACTTTATAGAAAATGAAACAAAAGCAGCATAGCAGCCATTGTAGCACATACCCAGTGGCTGAGTACCAAATATATTATTTCCTCCCATGTGAAGCAATTTTAAAGAAGAGCTCTAAAAGATTGAAGATGGTATGTAACCAATGAGGCCGACGTTTCTGATAGACAATATCTTCAAACTAACAAAATTACCCATACCACTGGAATTTTTACCTACAAAAATATACCAATCCGATGAATCCTGTACTAGTGTTACTGTTGGATAATTAATGAAATTCAAGTGGAACAAACATGTCAACATCAAAAAAAGCTTCTTTCAAAATGGACAAGCCCTTATGTTGAAAATTCAGATGGAAAAGCAATGTGTTGTATCTAAAGCCATGTTATGAAGTAGTTTGAACTAAATTAGGTTATCGCTTGTAAACTTGGAAATGGCACAAATTTTATTGAATTTTTGGTTGTCACTTTTCAACTCCAAGACCTTTTGGCGCTGTTTTCTTCAGTGATTGGTTGATTTCTTGCCAACCTTTTTTTTCTTTTTTGTCTTGGACCAGGTGTTGCTTTTGTGCAACTGGTTTAGGCTATGATTTTCCAACTATGTTTGCAGCTCTGCTTGGCTCTTTTAATTTTTTTATTGATGTAATGAGATGCACCTCTGTTATACTCTTTATTTTACATCAATATATTTCTCTTTTTGTGGCCGATCTAAAAAAAAACTCACAAGACTCTAGTTGCTAATTTGAAGTTAAAAGGAAGTGGTAGGGCTCAACACATAGAATTTTTCAAATTTCAATCTTAAATGGAACAATACATGTTAATAAATTATATTACAAACTTCTACAATTGATACTCATAATACCAGAATAGATGCCCAATATAAATTATAATGCACAACGAAAATTAATCGGAAAATTCAAACGAGGTCCAATAACTAACGATATCACCAACATACATGTTACATACAAACAGATATATATATATACATAATTGTTTTTGTATGTAAAATATTGGTAGCATAAACCGTCAAAAACATGAATTCGAGAGTAGTACAAAGACGGAGAAACAGAATTACCTGCGTGTATTCGGATTTTCTCGAGTAGGTTAATTGCTATTCGAGTCGAAGAAGAAGAGAATCAAATTGATGGATTAGGGATTTATGAGTTGCAAGCGATCGTATAACAAGTCTTTTTTGGCGGGAGTGAGGTTAGTCAGGCTTGGTTTTTGGGTCGGCTTTTTTGTTTTTTGTTTTTTTTTAACTTTTTGTAGCCTGATGTTAAAAAATTTTATTTGGGATAAATTTTTGAATTTTTTTTATTTAAATAAAATAATTATAATTTATATATAATATTTTATTTTATTAATTTTTTTAATTAATTTTATCTTTATTAACTAATTTAACTTTCAACCCACGTTCAAACTCCGCAAGCAATAACACACAAAGATAAAACGTACCCAATCTCAAGAATAAGGCCTTGCTTGGAATGATTTAAAAAAATTAAAAAATTATTATCTTATTTAAATTATATCATTTTATTTAAATCACATCACCTCTCTAACATATCATTTCAAATTTTTTTTTGGGGCCAATTGTGTCTCTACACGCACGACCCCCAGTGACCCCCACTGGGGTCTTAGGCA